CCGGCCCTTCCCAGAAAACGGCAGGCATTTCCCCACCTACTCGGCCTGGACGCATGCCTTGAACACCTCATCCCCGCAAGCGGCACACGTATTTTCCAGGTTGGGCCCTGAGGGAGGCTGAGAGCTGAGTTTTCTGCCACAGCCAAGGTCCTGGCCTGTGAGGCAGGTGACTTGTCTACACCCTACGGGAGGCTCTTTGCCTGAAGTGTCTTAGGTCCCTGAACACGTGCCTCAGGCCAAGGGCTCGGGGATGATCCCACGTGGGCCTGTGGATCCAAGCGCCAAGTCCCAACTCGACTACAGGTTCATTCGCGTGGGATCTCCAGGTCCCCCGCACTTCCCTAGCCTCAACCTTCCTTCCCTGCAGAATGGGCACAACCCCCTGCTGCGGCTGTAATTGAACGAAGCAGTGCGATGTGATGCGGGAGAGCCAGACTCTCCGGGTTCGAGGCCGGGCTCTGCCATGGGACGCTGGGGGAAATGAATTTACCGCTCGGTGACTCGGTTTGCGCATCTGTAAAATAGGGATGATGGGAGTGCCAACCTCCTATGGTGGTCGCGGGGTGGCTGGGGGGGGGGACCAAATGAGGCCAACGACTGTGCGGCACTTGGCACGCGACTTCCCATAGTTCACGGTCAGTGCCAGTACATGATTGTACCAGTTGAGGACGCAGGGGTTAGAGGCTGGGCACTGAGGTCAGAGGGCCGGAGTCTGCGTCCCAGTGACATCACTCGTTAGCTGTGTGACCCTGGATAAATTAAACCACTTCCTTACCTGTTACGTGAGGTCAGTAATAATCCCTAGCTCCGGCTGTGAGGTCTGAAGGGGCCGATCAAGGCAGAGTGCTGACACACGGTAAGCACTGCTTGTCAATATCATATAGCCATCGTTATATAACTGCCGTTAATATTATTAATATTCTAATAGAGAGGCAAGGAAGCCAACACTTGGTGAACACCTATTACGGGGTAGTACTTGACGTGAATCCTCTGGCGAGGATATTCAAGGCCCAGCACTGGGTTTCTGCCTTCGGTCGAGGGGGGATGTAAGGTTCCCAGAGGGGGCGGGTGACCCACTTGTCCAAGACCCCAGAGGTGGGGAGGGGCAATCGGTCCCAGCTGTGCGATGTCCAGGGCAGGAAGGAAAGACCGACGCTTAAGCGAAGGCCTTTCACGTGGCAAGTGGGGGGCTCGGTGCCCCCCGGCCCCCCTTTGATCCGCACGGGAACCCTGGCTGCGGGTAGTACTGTCCCCCTTGGGCCGGTGACAGGCCTGAGTCTCTGGGAGGTGAGCTGTTTCAACTCTGCAAAGTCGCAGAGCCAGGATGCGACCGCGGTGGTCTGTCGGAATTCTGTTTACGCAGGTGTTTGGGGCACAACCTTCCACCGACTCCCTCTGAGCCAGGGGAAACAAAGTCTTTGTGTCTAGAAAACCCCAGAGAGAGGTCCAAACCCTGCAGTCCCCAAGCCCTAGGGGCCGCATGCGATCCTCTCGCAGGCTCCCGAGACGAGGACGGGTGGCGGTGACGGGGAGGGGCACACTCCCAAAGACAAAGACACTCCACACCCAAACTGGTCGTTGTTACCCAGAAATCTTTATTACAAAAATATTTTGCAAGCCAAAAAGTTTAAGTTGCAACTATATACAAAATGGGGCCTGTTTCCTTCCTAGCAGTCTTAAAATAAACTCCTGAAACCACGCTCCTTCCGTAGTGTTGTTTCGACCTCTTCCTTTTCCTGGGGTTCGATACACAAGGTATGGGAATCTCCAGGCTGCCAGGCCGGAGCTAAAGCTGCACAACTTCCTTGGCCTCATTCCCTTCCTCCCCTTCCAAAATTCAAAATAAAATAAAATAAAATGGCACCAAGAAAACACTCTCTTAAAATTCTGTGTGCCTACGTGGGTGCGCGTGCACGTACATGGGACACACTCAAGCACATGTGCCTTCTCTGGGCAGGAGAGAGGGAGGCTAAGGTTGACAAGCCAACCTTTTGGAACTTGGAAGTGGCCCGAGCCAGGTGGCTGGGTCACTGTGCTCCCAGATGCCACAGAGAAACCCTGGCTCATCGGCCAAAACTGTCCACATGGCCCGTTGGCTCACCCGATTCCTGGATGCCGTCGTGTGAAATGCCAAATCTCTGTCCCCAAAGAACTGGGTCTGAGCTGAGCTCCCAGGGTTCCATGCGTAGGACCTGCTGGTGGGCAGCATGGCTCAGCTTCTTGTTCTGATGGCCTGGAATCCCTGGGGCATCCGATGGATGGCCGGACCCAGGGGGTGACGAAGATTAACCTTTCCGCTCTAAGACTTGGTTGGTTACGCGTGAAGACCGAATCGACAGGGCTCGCAACGTCTGCTGGCCCTGGGCCCAGCCAGGCCCCCGACTGGAAGGGTGGGGATCAGAGGCAACAGGTCACAGCATCTGCCCAACCTCCTGAGACAGAGGGACAGAAGGAGGGTCAGTCCTGGCTTCACAGCTGCCCAGTCCTCCTGGCTGTTTGGGATTTATTCCAGTTTGATCCCCAAAGGGTTTGAGAGCAGAAGTAGAAAGATTCCTCCTGCAGGGACCAGCTCAGAGAGCTGGAATGGGGTCGTCGTTAAGGGGCGGGGAAAACAGACAGGCATAGCTTCCCTCCCCTGCGTGGCCTTCCAGCGCTGGTAAGATGCCAGGGAGCAGGGGGGCATCTTTTCTCTCCCCTCTTTCTGGATGAGAAAACTGAGGCCTCGGGTCTCGACAAGCTTGCACTGTGAAGGACGCAGCCAGGAGGAGGAGCACTGAGCGGGTCTGGACTTAGCACGATGGGGGCACAGAAGACCGCAGTACCAGCCACGTGGCTCGGCTGAGAACGTGACCTATTTTGCCCTGGAGGGAAGGCTAAGCGTCTCCACGGGGCAGCCGCACTGCAACCTTCCTCCCCATCCTCGGGGTCTGGGACGCGGGGGTACCCAGTTTCCGCCGTAAGAGGGTCCCCCCGGGACGACCAACTGGTAAACCTTAGACCGCACAAGACCCGACCAGGTACTTCGACACATGACAAAGAGCCAAGAGAACGTTGCTGTCGTTTTAAGAAAAAAACCAAAACAAAACGAAACACCACAGATCAAATTTTCTAACACCTCAGGTTCAAGATTGCACATTTCACATTTCTCGATAATTTACAGGCGTCCGCAGCGAGATGTTGCTGAGTTAGTGCTAGCTGGAGGAAGCAAGCTCGGGTCTAGAAAGGAGAGGAGGGGCCGTGTGGAGCGTCACGGTTGGGACGGCGGGTCCTCAAGGAGTCTCGGAGGGCCACCAGGAGGAGGGGGGTTTTGTTACTCAGTCCTTGGTGGTGGCGGCTGTGTGGGGGTTCCTCGGAGGCTCCTCCCCTCCCCCGGGGCTTGCGCCTCATCAATCCCGGGATGGGGAGGCTAGGACTCTCGGCAGCAGTCTCACCGAGTCTTGGGATGAGGGTCCCGGAGGGGTTTTTTCCAGCTTCTCCACGGACGGGGCAGTTCGATCGAAAGGGACGATCTTCCCCAAGCCCCAGGTGGGTGGTGGCAAAAGGAAGTGGGGCTGTCTCCCTCCTCACCCTGGAAGATCAGGCTGCAGAGCACGAAGGGGGGCAATCAGGGTCTCCAAGACCGTGACCGAGACCCGCATGTTGATGGAGACAGGCATGAGGGTTCTTGGACCCTGGCGGTTCTGGCCAGTTCCCAGGTGGGTCCCCCGGCCAGTCTGGCGACATCGGCCTCCGCGTGTGGTGATGTGGGGGGACTGCGGCTGCCCTGGAAATGTCGAAGAGCCACGTGGGTTGGGGAGACAAGAGCCAGCCTCATCCTGGAGTTCCAGGGCCTGCACCATCCCGGCCCTCTGGGAACTGGGCTGGCTGTCCCCATCACGGCTGTCCCACACGGGACAGGAAGGCTCGTGGGGACAGACCCTAGAGACGACCACGGTCCCATTCACTTCCTCTGGACCTGGACGCTGGCATACTCCGAGTAGGATGGCTCGGGCTTGGGGGCTGGCTGCTTGGGGGCCCGGTTGAGGTGGACCATGTCTAGGTCGGCGTAGGTGAGGGTGTCCTCGGGCGCGGGCGGCGGGCCGGTCTGAATGCTGGCGTACTCTGTGTGGTTGTTGGGCTCGGCGGCCCGCGGGGCGGCCTTCTTCCCCTTGGGCAGGTTCAAGTCTGCGTATGTGATGTCATTGTTGTCCTGGATCTAAATGTGATGGAGAGAAGTTCATTCTGGAGCCCCCAGCCACCCCTCCGCCCATCGGTACCGAGGCTGGACGCTTCTGTCTCCCCTTGGGCCCCGCTGGCTCAGCCCTAATTCACGCCCCCCTCTTCTTCAGCCCAGGTTCCCCGCCTCCGGCCTTACCCTTCCGATCCTCACCTGGCCCAAAGGAGCCTCCTACCCGCCAGTGGGGTCACCTCACGGCGCCGCCTCACTGTCCCTCCGCCCGACGTTCCATTCTGTCCTTTCAGGGTTCTTCCCTCTGCCTGCTGTCCATGCCCCCTTCTCCTCGTAACGAAACCCCGTCCACCTTGTGCCTTTTAGCACGTGCATCACTTCAACCTAAGACCACCCTCCCCTCAGCTGGCTCTAGGGTTCCTCTCTGTGCTTCCTCAAGCCGTGTCTCTCCATGACAGCACCCACCACCCAGGACCGACTCTGTCTGGGGGTCTGAGTAGGTGCCGACCCCCAGTGGGTGGAGATGCTCATCCGTTTACTGGTTTAGTCAACACACCTTCACTAGGTTATTTGTTATAATGCAGAACCCAAGGCTGGCATTGAAGAAGCCCCATCGGTGTGGAATGAGAGAACGAACGAAAGAACGGATGGCAATTTCAGCCTCACTCAGGGTGCAGCTGGGGTCTGGGAGACTGGGAACAGGGGCATGCGAGAACGAGAGCCCAGGTAGCAGGTGAAGTACGGAGCCTGGGGTTTCAATCCTTCTCCTGCTCTGTCTAGCTGAGGGCCTTGGGGCAATCCACTTAAACCTCTCTGGGCCTCGGTTTCCCCATCTGTAAGGCGGGGGGCTGGGACAGTGTCTGTTTCCAGGGTCCCTGTGAGGCTCAGACATGATCGCCCAGGTAAAGTGCACAGAACAGAGCCTGGCACACATCGAGGGAACCCGTGTGTCCGATAAATGCTAGCAATCATCAACCGCCTGGCAAATCTGAACATCTCCCGTGTGCTAATCTTATCGCTCGCAACGGCTGCCTTCAAATTACTCATCAGGAATTGCAAACTTTGCTTCTTCCGTGCCCAGCACCTCTGCTGTAGCAGGGGGCGGGGGGGGGGGGAACACCACCACGGCTCCTCGCTGGTGCTCAGTAAGCACCACGGAGCGCAGCTCCCGCAGGCTTACAGGCTCGGCGCCATCGCGGGGATCGTCTTACCGAGGCCCTATCTCAGCCCGTCGCTAGGCGCCCCCTCTTCCGCTTTACAAGTGAAGAAACTGAAGCCCAGAGAGGTTAAACAATTTGGTTCAAGTCACACAGCTGCAAAGGATCCAGAGTCTGTTGGACCCGACAGCTGTGGTCTCACCGCACGGCCCCCTCTGTCCCGAGCCTTGCACACTCACTCACTTCTCTCTGGGAAACCCACAGCAACAGCATTAAAGTTCCTCCCTGGCAGGGGCCGGCACCTAGCACTGGGGATTCGAGACACAAGGCTGTAAGAAGCTCCGTGAGGGCCGGGCTGTGGCTGCCTTGGTCACTGCCCAGGGCCTGGCACATAGTAGGTGCTCAGGAAGTCGTGGCCGGCTGCGAATTCTGTGCAGGTTTTAGTGACCACCTCTCATCATCATCCTTTCCCCTGAAAGTTCCAGAGAGAAGTCCAGAGGTAACAATGACTGGGGAGAAGGCCGCGCTTTGTAATTACCCCTCGGGCTTGTGCCCGGGGCCGCCGGGGGCGGGGGCTGTCCCGGGTGGGGAAGAGCAGGCCACAGTTGGGGCTTTACAAAGACCGTGCCTCTCAGCAGCCCGACTCTGTGCAACAGATTGCATCTGAAACGATGACAACACCCCGGGAAATGTCAAGGACAGCTGGTGCTCTCTCCTCGCGGGTTCAGGGCAGGGCCTGTCTCATCACAAGAGGCAGAGGAACCCTCGGCCTCCAAGGTCTGACAGCGTCAGCCTGTGAGAAGCAGGGCGAGGTCTCTCGGAACCAGGCCAACCACGCTGCCCGTGCAATCGCCCCGGCAGTGCTGCGGAGAAAGTGCCAGAAAGGGAGCATGCCCTTGCATGAGGCGATCGGTGAACAAACTGTGAGCGGTGCCCCCTGGAGTTGTGTGTTGGGTGCCCTGGGTCAAGGAGGTGGTGACCTTCTCCTGGCTGGGGCAGAGGACAAGGGGGAAAAGAGGACTGTGAGCATCCCCCCACTCTCTCCACCCCTGCCTCCACCCCAACCCTTCCCCCACTCTGGGGAAGGAGTCTTAATTTAGAACAGAATCTGCAACTCTGGTTGATGCAAGGAGATTGCACCAGTGAGAGTACCAAGAAGGGCATCTCACCAAGGACTGTACCTGGGTTATTTCTCTGGTATTCTTCTCGGGCTCATGCAACCTAAAAAGGAAAGAGACACACAGATAAAAATATCCTCACTATCTCCAGTGCTCATGCAAATTGGTAAGAATAACATTTCGGTTCCATTTCCTATATGGGTGGAGCAAGTCACAACAGAAACACAACGGCTTTATCAAATGTTTGGACAAAGGGGTCAATCTCACTAAAGAGGAACTTTCAGTAAGGTGCTCCCCCTCCCCCCTTTTTTTTAAACCCACTCTTCCCCAGCAAGGATCTTCAAAAGTTGAAATACCGGGTGCTGGGGAAGGTATGGTGAAACAGACACGTTCACGCATTGCTGACGGGAAGGTTAAACCCACACCCTTTTGGGAAGGCAGCTTGGCAAAATCGAGAGCTTGACTCATAAGTGCACATTTTTTTGGGAGAACTCAAAATATAGAAAAAGCTTGCTGCACAGAGGCATTTGTCACAGAGCGGGATAGGGAGGAAGGTTTCCATGTTACAGCTCTGCCAGTTGGAACTGGTTAAGGAAATCAGGATAGACTCATAGATAAAAACTTAAAAGGTTTATGAGGAAGGGCTTTTTTTTTTTTTATTACAAATGATTACATTAAAATGATAAGCAAAAAGGCAACATTCTCTGGAATGATCCCAAGCCTATAAAATTGTGTGGATCACCCGGGAAGGAAACGTAGTAAAATGCTAACCGCAGTGGTCTTTGGGAGGGATTTTTTTTTTTCTTCCATTTCGTTCCCGTATTTTCCACACGTTCTCTATTCTACACATCTAGGTCTCAGCATTAAAAAAAAAAAAAAAGGGAGAGAGAGAGAGGCGGAACGGTGTCCTGGTTAATCAAAGAAGCTGTTCATGCACTTGATTCTGTAATTGGAGGCCATCGCTTGGCTCACTGCAGGGTCATGGTCAAGGTGGTGAGCAACCCGGAGCCACTGGTTCTGTAGGAGTTGTGTAAATTCTCAGGCCGGCAACTCCAGGGATGTTAGCCTGGATAATGTCAGAAATGAGCAATGGGGCTTGGCAGCAAGGTTATTAATGGATTTGGCATGAGCTCTTGGCTCAGAAAGCAGTTCTGGGGCATGACAAGCCCCACGTGGCCACAGAAACAACCCTCTGGGAGCAGGGACGCTGGCTGCGGAGGAAGATCACGAAGGTCTATCCACACCCCTATTGCTTCCAACCCTTCCAGGAACCCCCGCTGCCTCTGGTTCAAGTAAGATTCATCACCCTGCGCGTCAGTCCCGCACGGTCTGGCCTCTGCTGACCTCCCCAGGCCCCTTCACGCTCCTGACCTCAGTGACCCACATACCCACCCACCAAGTCTCTCCTGAGGGTTATTCGATGAGACGCATTTTGCGTCCACAACGGCCTGGAAAGCTGCCCTCCGCCGCTTTGTCTCTTGGTGAACTTTTATGCACTCTTCAAGACTCAACTGTGGTGTCGCCTCCTTGGGAAAGCTTCTGTGACAGTGGTGGACTGTCTAGACTGCCCCTCCGTGACAGCCCCAAGCCCCCTTGCCTATTTTCCAATGCGTCTGTCTGCCACCTGCCTGCCACGCTTCCTCAGCACGTGGGTACAAGTGCTCTAAAGTGACCTGGCATGAAGATAGACTGCCCCGGGGCCTTTGCACATGCAGCCCTCCTTGCCTCTTCATTCGCTTCACTGCTTCTCTTCCCTCAGATGTGGTTTCAAATAGTCCTTTCTCGGGGAAACCTCCACTGAACCCCAAACTCCAGTCTCAGAACACTGGGTTCCTCTCTTTCAGAGCGGACTGGAAGTAATCATCCATTTGGTTGTGTCCGGCTGTCCTGTGTCTGAGAATGGCACTGCTCTTACCCATCCCTGTGCGCAGGCTAGAGAAGTGGGAATCAACCCTGATTCTCCTCTGCCCTCCTTTACAATCCATGTTAACCCATCCCAGCGCCTGCTGCCTCTGCTTCCAAAATCCCAGCCGCTCAGCCTCCCCCACCGTCCTAGCTCCCTCGTCTCCTCAGGAGCCTCTCCGGCGTCCCTGCTTCTGTTTCCGCCCCTCGGCCTGCCATTCTCCGCACTGGAAAAGGCGTAAGTGAGGTCACATCATATTCCGCTCCAAACCCTCAACCCACTGTCCGCACACAGGGAGATCCATGTCTGTATCCAGGATGGTGCGGCCGCACGATCGCTGCCCCCCCCCCCCCCCCCCCCCCCCCCGGAATGTTCTAGCCTCCCATCTCTTCCCCTCGCCCACTCCAGGCCAGCTGCTCTGACCTCCTCCGTGTTCCACGAACATTTCCAACTGCTCCTGCCTCGGGGTCTTGGCACTGGCCGTTCCCTCTGCCTGGTCCACTCTTGCCCCAGATATTCCCGCAGCGGGAGCCTCCTCGTCCTTCAGCTACCTTCTGAATGTCACCTCCTTAGCCAAGCTTGCCCTGACCGCCCACGGCACCCCACCCCCTGCTCTGCTCCATGCTCAGCTGTATTTTATTTAGTCAGCGCCCGCATCACATCGTGCATTAACCTCCCCCCACCTTGCTTGGTGACCCGCCCCCTGATGGACCGTGGGCTCCGCGCTGGAGCCCCGACACCCGGTGAGGGGCTCATACACTGGCAGCGCCCCCAAAGTATTTGTTGAGTGAGTGAATGAATGAATGAATGAACGCGGAATCAAAAGGGCCACGAGACCGGGGCGAGTGTCTGTTTCGCTCTCCTTCACAGTCCCCCAGCTTAAGGCCTGGCACGGAGCTGGGCTCAATTCAGATGAATAAATGAAAGAATCAGAGAAGCCCTAAATATTCCAAGAATAAACGCACTGAATGTCTGACAAGTGAACAAATGGCCGCCCGAACGAACCCCAGTGCCCAATTAAGGGAGCGGAGACATAGTTTGCTCTCGTCTGAGCTGGGGAAGATTACAGATGATGTTCTACCTGCACGCTCCCAACCCAGGGAGTGAGAGCTACCCAGGCCCTCACCAGCCCTGCAACCTGAAGGGCCCTTTGAGCTCAAAGCGGCGGCCTCCCCCCGCCCCTCCCTCGGCACCCTCCCCGAGGTGCTCGGTTGTTACCCACGCCAGCGTCCTCTGGAAAGCGTCTGATCCCAGCCAGCCGACTGAAGCCAGCGTTGCATGGAAACTACCATTACCTCTCACCAGCTATCGCTTTGGTTTAGAGAGATGAAAGGGACAGAGCAATCTGACGGCTCCCTTGGTAGGTTCACGTTGGAAAAATAGAAAACAGGCAGAAAACGGTTGGCTTCTCTGGGGAAGGAGAGCATCAGAACACCAGCGTTCAGCGTCAGAGGTATCTGGGCCGGCCTCAGAGTTCTGGCACCTGCTAGCTGTGGGACCTCGGGAATGTCCCACGACTTCTCTGAGCCTCGGCTTCTTCCAGCGCACACACACACACACACACACACACACACACACGGCCAAGAAGAAGCTTCTAGAACAAGGGTTCTCAAAGTCTGGGTTGGAGGCAACAACATCAGCACCACTTGGGAACTCGTTAGGAATGGAAATTCTGCATCAGAAAGTCGGGGGCGGGGGCGCCCAGTAATCTGTGTTTGAACAAGCCGTCTAGAAAATTCTGCCACACACTTGAGGTGGAGAAGCTCTGTTCAATTAAAACGGGATGATTGCAAATCAGAGGGGTTTTGCTATAATTAAAATCACCAACGGGCTACTATAGGAAAAAGCATAGATTGGTTCCCGGAACGCAGTCAGTGCTTGATAAATGTTAGCGGCCGAGGCTGTTATTATTATTATTATTATTGACACCGCCCCTTTCTTTTGGGAACTTACTGTCTAACTGGGGAGATCAGACAAGTAAAAAATAACGGCGACAATAAGGAAAAAAGAAAAGAAAAAAGAGCGATCCGTATCTGAGGCCGCGAAGCGCTTGGAGAAGGAGAGTTTTAGGGATCCGGGGGAGGAAGAGATGGGGATTGGGACCACGGTCTGGGGTGGCATTCGTTCAGTCCGCATTCATTTGTTCATTCAACACACCTTAACTGAGCACCTACTCCATTCCAGGCATGGTGTAAAGTTCAGCAGTCATGGGGTGGGTTATAACACGGGGCACGTGCATTGACAGTTTGAATATACCACCAAGGTGTCAGTGCAGGGGCCCCAGGAGAGCTCGCAGGACAGGCCTCTGTCCTGGGGGGGTGGTAATGCCCTCTCCGAACCGGGAGAAAGGGCGGGAGGTAAGCAGATGAAAGGGTGACCTCCCATGTGGCACATCTCCAGGGGGCGCTGTTCACAGAACCCACTGTGACTGCTGCCTCCTGGCACGGTAGAGACCTTGGGTGGTGCCTGAGCACATCTCAGGGAGAGAGGCCAGCACGCAAGGGCTGGAAGGACAGTGAGGACACAGCGTGTGGGAGGCTGTGAAGGGAGTGCAGCCAGTCTGAGTCACCAAGCACGAGGGCTGGGGAGTGGCCAGGAATGAAACTGTCCAAGTTAGTAAAGGCCAGACCACGAGGGGCTTGAGGGCCTCAGTAGTGTGGCTGGACTATGTTGAGGGCCATAGGGAGCCACTGAAAGTTTTTAGGCAAAGGACAGAATTCGAGTCTTGCCCTTGGAAAAGAGTGTACCCGGCATACACACACACACAACGCCCCCATTGCCCCCAACCTTGGCATTGTCCTTGACTCTACAGTCCATCAGCAAGCCCTCTTGACTCTACCTCCAAAACGTATCCAGGATCTGAGCATTTCTCAGTCATCCCACTGCCACGGTCCAGGCCACCATCATGTGCTTGGACCACTGCAGTAGCCTCCTCCCAGGCCCCTCTGCCTCCTCTACCCTCAGCTCCTACAGCTTGTTCCCCACACGGCGGTCAGGTGGTACTTTTAAAACCAAAGTCAGATCAATCTCCCTCCTATGGCTCCTCATCCCACAGGGAGTAAAACCCTAGACCGTTGGCCTCCACCCCAGAACCTCAGTTCCTGCTCTGCATTCAGAAATCCACAAACCTCTTGAAAGAAAGAAATAAAGAAAGAAGGAAGGAAGGAAAGAAAGAAAGAAAGAAATAAAGAAAGAGAGGGAAGGAGGGAGGGAGAGAGAAAGAAAGAAAGAAAGAAAGAAAGAAAGAAAGAAAGAAAGAAAAGAAAGAAAAGAAAGAGAATTGCACAACCTATTTGTTAGCAAAACCTGACCTGAACCAACATGAAGCTATTTATGGCTTTTATTTATTGCCCATGCGGGGCATGCCCATGCAATTTATTTATTGTTTCCATGCAGGTACATTCAAGTGGTAGATTATGGGGATCTCTGGATCTCTCCACTGGGGGTGAATATCAGGGGCTTTCCTTTAGAAGCTGAAAAGTCTGAATTAGTAATAAACCTGGCTGCACGGCCTTGGGCTGAAACCGCAGACCTGAATCTCTCTAGGCTCATCTCTTGCCCTCCCTTGCGTTCCTTCTGCCCCAGCCCACAGGCCTCCTTGGGTCCTCTGGCTTTGGCCACGCCCACTCTCTGGCCCAGCAGACAGCCCTCCTTCACAGCGTCCTGGCTCAGGTCCCTGCTCACATCCTCTTTTTGACAGAGGAAGCCTCCTCCCCGGCCTAAACTAGCTCCCCCCATTCATCTCCATCCCCTTGCTGGGCCTGACTCGTTACCACCTGACATAACATCACACATCGCTTCCTTCTCTCACTGGAGTCTGAGGCCCACGAAGGCCTGGATTCTTGTTCGCTGCTGTCTCTCCAGCACCCAGAACAGCTGGCACATAGTATAGACTCAGCAAAAATCACTGCAAACATGAACCAGCAAACTAACGTATCATCTGTGACGTAATGTCACACGCTAGCCCCTGACCAGGCCCTGGGCTTCAAGAGGGCAGTACGAGGCTTCTACCCTACATACCTTGGCATTCCCAGGGTCACCGTGCCAAGGAAGTCAACACACAGTGAACGAATGAAGGCAAGGGCAGAGTATCCAGCTTGGATCTGGGAGCTGTGTGTGTGCGGCAGCTTTCTGCCACCACCCAGATGAAATGTGATGAAGGTCTTGCTGTCTATGGACAGCAGGCAGGAAATCAGAGCCTCTGTGTGCGGAAATCGCCTCATTTGAGACAATCATGAAAAACAGACCTGGCAGAGCAGCTGACAAAGGAGAGAAATGGGAAGGTTGCCTGGCACAGGAGTGAGGGTCAGTGGGTATGGACTCTGCTTTTCAGGTTTTGGGCGTTGTCAACCAACCAACCAACTAACCACCAACCAACCAACCAACCACCAACCAACCAACCAATCAACAACCAACCAACCACCAACCAACCAACC